AAGAATAAGAGGTAGGAATTGGCTAGGCAGTTAGAGTAAAAAGACCCCAAAGAAATGTAGCCAGTTTCTGGGCTAACTGTCAAAATATCCTTGGGCCTGTTAGCAACATACTCCTTTCCAAAGGTCAAAAAATGTCAAAAGTATTTGGGAGCTTGTATCTAATCCTTAAAAGATTTTAGGGTTACCTCCAGAGAGAGGAATGTTGGAGGGGAGGGAGTGGGCATGGATTTGATCAAAACACCTTATATGCATGTATGAAATTCTCAATAAAGTTTTTTGTAAAAATTAAAAAATAAATAAAAAATAAAAATGGAGCAGATTGTAGATAAGTCATGGGAAATGGGAAGAAGTGGGGGATGCAGATGAATAGCATCACAGAGTAGGGTAGGAGAGGAATAATTGCTGGAAAGTTTCCAAATATGGGGGCTGGGGACATGGCTCAGTTAGTAAAATGCTTGTCCTACAAGCATGAGGACCTGAATTCAATCCCCAGCGGCTATGCAGAAGTCAGGCACAGTGGTCCACATCTAACATCCCAGCCTGGGGAGATAGAGACAGGATCTCTGGGGCTTGCTGGCCAGCCAGTCTAGCTGAATTGAAGAGCTCCAGGTTGGTCCCAAAAATAAAGTAGAAACCAACTAAGAGAAACATCTGATGTCCACCTCTTGCTTCCACACATGCAGATGTGCACACATGAACACTATATGCATACACACACATAAACATATACACAAAGGTCTCCAAATATGATGAAACCACAAACCTCCAGATCTCAGGAACTCAATAAATCCAGAGATGGAGAAAAAAGATGAAAGAGTTCTTGACAGCCCATGCTGATTGAAGTGCTGGGGCTGTGCTGTGGACTCTCCTGCCTCCCTCAGTGACAAGCCCAAGGCAGGAGCAGAGAGGACAAGAAATGGGACAGAGACCAGGAAGGCAGGATGGACTCAGGAGAGAAGGGCAGGCCACATGGTAAAAAGGATTGGCAGGCCTTTCCCGGGGTCTACTGCTCTAACAGCCTACAGCAGGTAGCCCATCCCTGCAGCAGTCAGGCCCTGATGTTTCCACTGAAGTCTGTACTAGTGGCATCTCTAGACCTTGCTTTACTCAGCTCTGCTGAAAGAGCCCTCTTTGTCCCAGAGCCTAGCCCCATTCCAAGAAAGGAACCCAATCAAGGACAAAATCAGCAGGCACAGTAGGCAGCAGAGGTTGGCAGGGCAACTCCACTTTTCAAAAGCCATTTAGAAACCCCCACAGCTCTGCCACCCACCTGAGCATACTGCAAGACACTCACCCACAGAGGTATCAGGTCAAGGAGCAAACATCTAAGTTTCCAGTACAAGCCCATTTTATCCAGGGGACACCAGGCTTGCTGTCATGGCACCACAAAGGGTGGGCTGCCACATACACTGCCAGTGGGACAACTGGTCCATGGTGAGCCTGGATGCCACCCACCTGCCCCTCCTGTTCATGAGGTACGCTACTGGCTGGAGCAAGGGGCCAACAGGCATGTCCAGGCCCTGGCTAAGCAGAGACCAGGATTGATGGGACAAGGTATTACAGAAATGGCTGCTGTACACCCACCTGCCAGGCTGGGAGGACCTTCTCAATGTCATTCAGGTTGATGCCATCTCCATCTTCCAGCTTCCCCTTTCCACACCTGCAACAGAAAAGACAGAAAGACACTGGAGGGATGGCTCTCCCATGCTCTCACCAGGAAAGAGCTAACCCCACTCCCTCTCAAGAGTCTTACCCGAGGAAAGGGCCCTGGAGGTGGAGTCCTCCTGCCCTCATGTAATCTCATGTAGGATGGTAAGAAATAAACCTCTTGACCCTTCTCTGCAAAGCTGCTAGGGTGACTAATAAAATACCCAAAGCCTGTCACAACTCCTGCAGAAGCCAGTCCATCTTGCTCCATTACATTGGAGGAAAACTCATTGAACAGAGGGACCAAGCAACTTTCTCAAGGTAACACAGGCAGGGAGGGGCTGGCAGAAAGCCCAGTGTAGCTTCCTTTCCCTCACTTGACTCTAGGTCTGTCAAGCCAACCACTCAGATATTGTGTGCTCTGTATTCAGAGCCTCTGTGGATAGGTACACACCTGCAGGGTGCAGACGCTGGCCCCAACTCACTAGCCAAAGTTCTAGCTTTTTATACATTTAAAGGTGCAGGTTAAGGGATGGAGAGGTGGCTCAGCAGTTAACAACAAAGGATGTTCTTGCAGAAAACCCGAGTTCAAATCCCAGCACCCATATGGCAGCTAACAACTGTCAGTAACTCCAGTTCTAGGAGAATCTGACACCCTCTTCTGACCTCCATGGGCATTTTACGCCACGAGTTCACTTATATACATGCAGGCAATATATCATATACATAAAATAAAATAAAAAATAAAAAAATGAAGGTGCATGTTAAGGCACCAGACTGCAAGGGTTTGAATCCCATTTGCATTTCTTACTGAGTGGCCCTGTGCAAGTTACTTAACTGTCTTGCACCTCAGTTTTTTCATTCAGAAAATGGGGGTAACAACAGTACCTAAAATCATGACGTGGTTGGAGGATTAATTATAACACAGGCAATAAGGTCATTGTATTTCTACTTCTACATCTGCTTCTACTACAATTATTGGTGCTGTTGTGGGGCAAAGGAGCAGGCAGGAAACCCATTCAGAGCCTCAGCAGAGGCTAATCCAGCCCCAGCAAGTTTCTCATTTTTGTCTTCCCATCTGCGAAAGCAAAGAAGCTCATTGCTCCAAGTTCCAGGTTATGACAAGTTTTTTTTTTTAAGATCTTTTTAAAAAAAGATTTTAGAAAGAATCTGAAAGAGAAGAACAGTAGGAAACAGGCATTAATACGGGAGATATGGATAATGGAGTTATTTTAAGGGGATGGGGGAGGGAAGGTTATACAAGGAACCTAGGTGACAAAGGGTAAGAAGGAGGTCAAGACAGGTGGGACCATAGGAGAAGGGTATTATTAAGGGAGAAATGGAGAAAAACAGGGGCACCTTAAATGGGGAAACCATGATGGAAGGGTTGGACAATGTGAGAGATATACAATGCCTAGCTAGTTTTAGAAAACCAGAGGGAACCACATTAGGCCAACAACCTACTGACAAATTATACATACAGCCAGATCAAAGAATGTAATATATGCCTAGGCAAGGTTTATCTGAGAGCATTGCGTCTTTGCCCAAGCTCTATCCATATGGCATATGGTAATTAAAAGTACCAGACTGGTGGAACTAACCTTCTTGGGTGTTTAACAGCCATACTTTGAGGCCTATACTAGTTTGGTCAGGAGGACATAAAGGAAAGGTTTTGCTCCTTGCCCTCCTAGGTCAACTAAGTTCCAGGGGACTATGAGCATCTCTCAAAATGTCCTGTAACTGTGGTAGGTCACCTGTCCTCTTGAGCAAGGAGGCCATGGAGACCCCACCAGATGGACCTGAACCACCATCCAGTCTACAAAGAGGAGGGCCAACAGAGAGAAAACATTTCCTCCATGCTTCCAAGTGAAGCCAGCCATAGTTGAGCAGGACCTTTGACTTATCTTCACATAGATGGAGCTGGTAAAAGAAAGGAGCCAGGGGTACCTCCCAAGCCCATGTGACCCCTGAGGAACAGATCCTCAAATGACCTTAAGAATAAAAATAAATTGTTTGATCTGGGCCAACTGTAGGGTCTTAAACACCCAAAAGGAAAGTATAACAAAAGACTAATGGGGTCAGTATAATTTTTAAGAGTCCATATGTATAGATAATGCTATATAAGAAGAAACAATGCCAGACAGGAGATACCTTCGAGTTATTGGCTGGCCAGGGTGGTACAGGAGACTCCCAGCATAGAACTGGGAAAGTGAACAGCAGACCCCAATCTTATCTTAAGGAATATTGACAAATGATGGCTGCTAGATGAGAAACAGCTGATCTTCCTAAAACAAGGATCTCTAGATAGATCTCAAGATAGACTGATTAGATTCAGCAGATGGACAAGCAGTGGGGAATGGCCGGGGGCACCGACAGCACTGTGAACAGTAACAGGGATAAGTATATGGGCTCCAGTATGTGGGATAGGGGAGGCTATGGGAAGGTGCCATTTGGGAAGTGGGTATATAGATAAATAAGATGTTCTGTATGATATACACACAGAAAAATCAACAAATTACAAAAAAGACATATTTGAGGAGGAAGCATAAAAATTTACTTCATGTTAATTAGTAGAGGTGATAAACATTACCATTGAAATCTACCTGATGACTTTACCTCCATACTCAGGTGCCAAGGATCTGAGCTAAGGATCCGAGTGTAACCGACTGTGACTAGTAATCATCAGATACACAAAGATTAAAGACACATGCGCAAACATCTAAGCATTAGAATTAAAAATGTAGGAAACAGCATATTTTAAAATGAAATGGAGATCT